CCCCAAAACCCCAAAACCCCAAAACCCCAAAACCCCAGGGTGTAAAATTAATATTGGAAGTTAATAAAAATATTTTAACAATGGGAGGAGTTGAGTATGGATTTAGTTCAAACCCTGGTTGGCGGTCATAGGTGGGAAGATTAGCCACTAGGCTAGGATTTAGTAAAGATCTGACCTTTTGAAGTCAGGTTTTAAGGGTGGTTTTGATAGGAGTGGTGATAGCTGTTGATGAGCTGAAGAACCTGGGATTAATTTTTTGAAGAAAATTTTAGCTCCCAACCTATATATCTTTGATTGTCTGTAGTTACTGGGAGTTATTATTAGGCTTCTATTGTCTCATAAATCAAAGTGGTATTATTTAAAGCCTTCTGCCTCACATTAGCACTTTGAGTGCATATCAATGATTTAAGATAAAACTTAAAGGATTTTTGAATTTCTTGGCTATTGACTCCAAGACTAGCCCAGAGATTGTACTATATTGCTCTGAACTTATATCCTTTCTTAAAACCACTTAGAACAAAATAATTAGAAGTTTTCAAATATCCATGAGCTAATAAAATGCTAGCAAAAACAAACTCTAAGATATTGTGATTGTTTCTAATTATAAAAGTACAGGATGTACGGAACCTCAAGTTCAAAGCTGTACAAAACCTGTGGGTGTTCTATTTAGCCTTAATGAAAAATAATTCAAATTTCCCGTTCATCTTTTTGGCAAATTATTTTTAGAAAAATTAATAATACTTAAAATTGTCATTTCAATGTATTTCTTAACCCAAAATTTACTGTTTTCGATGCTCATTTGCTGCTCATATAATGGAAATGAGCATCTTGTTAAGAGCGTAAGGTGGACAAGTTATTCTTGGAGTCCATATATGCTCTTTTAGTAACCGGTCGAGGATTATAGAGCAAGATTTTTGTTATATCAAAGAATGAGATGAAATTTTATTTCAAAATTAACCAGAGCATAACATTCAAAATATGGAGCAATTATGATATCAAACTTCTTCCTAAATTGAGATGGTATGCTTTATCAAACAATAATATCCTAGTGTCTAGAAGGTAACCACAAGACTATCAATAAGCCCAGCCCTCATGAAGTCCATACCTATCTTATCGTTAAATATCAAATCGGCACATAAAACGCAAATTAAAACTGCAATAAAAAATCCCTACCAATCTGACACCCAAATACTACATTTAATCATAACTTATCTCTAAATCGGAACACCTGGGCTTTCTAATGATGATACCTGCCCTTCAGAGCTCCCAAGGCAGCCTGAAGTCCAAGCACAAACCTTCAGGTGGCTCAAGCCCAAGCCTCTACAATGGAAGCTGAAGATACACAAATAAAATTAGGTATTTCCGAGCATAGATGAAAACTTTTGTTTATCCAATTCTTAACAATCCAAGTTAGGTAATTAATTGAATGGTTCTTTAATCCAAGCACTGCATCTGATGCATCTTAAAGTCTTTATAGTTCAATCTATGATCCTTGAACACCTTTTGTAACTTTCTGAACCTGCTGCCAACGAAAGTTGGAATTCTCTGCTTGAAAATTTTATTTTTGCATTGGTCTCTAGAAATCAGAACAACTAGGTTACCCAAGAAGCTAGATTTATGTTTTTCTTTTTCTTTGGTTGGTCTGTTATACAAGCTTTTAAAGTTGACTTTTAAATGGCTTAGATTTCTTGTTAAACTTTTTAGTTTTCTTTGGTCTGTTCTTTTTAATAGATTTTGAAATTGGAGTAGGTTTTATTTCAGGCTCAACAATAACATTTTCAAATTTAATAGCAATATTTTTATCTATTCTTTTCCCTACTAATTTTTCAGCAATTTTTATAATATCGAAAGATGCTTTAACAATTCATATTTTGACTTCACTCAAGCACGAAGCAGAAAGGATATTAAACTAACTCTCAAATTCTTCATTCTCAATCTGAGAAGCTCTGATTTCCACAGAAATACTAGTGGGATTTGTCTTCTCCAGAAATGAGTTCAGAGAAGCTAATGTAGCTTGATTATTAATTTCCAGTCGTCTCATATCAAGTCTTTGCAAGTTAAATCTCTCTAAAGCTTTAAATAATGCAACTTTGCTTTCTTCTTGAACATCATTTTTAGTATATCTTCCTACTACTTCAACCCAAACCTTAGTATTATTTTGGAAGACTTGAAGCTTCTCGTAAGTGTCTGAGTCCTCTAAGGCTGAAGGGGAAATTTCTAATCTCAATTCTGACAAATTCTGAAATGGACCTTTAAAAAGTTCAGAATCCTTATAAAAATCAAAACTGAGAGTTTTAACTTCTTCCAAAGGAATGAAAACTGAGAGATCTTCAGTAAGAAGCTTTGCTTCTTCGAGATCAGCCGGAGATGCTTCTTCAATTCCTTCTCATTCAAGATAAAATTCTTTGAAAATTATAAAGCCTTGATCTATTGTGAAGCCTTGAGAGAGCTTGCAGTTAAAATTAGCTAGTTTGAAGATTATCATCCGAGTTCCTAAATTGTGTTAAATATAATATCTTCTTGGATAAAATCTGGAATCTCTTTAAAATTTATTGTTCACAGAGACTTCTTAAGAGATGGCAGTGTCATATCTCAAGGAGGAAATAATTGGGAATTTGCTATGATTTGATTTGTTCGAAAATTTAATTCGAATTTATTTACCTAGCATAGCAAGGCCTTATTTTTTTAATATTTCGTACCATGTTCGTCTTGAACACCTAAATAGCAACTTTCCCCTGTGACATATTCATAGTTTGATCAAGATCCTTTATCAATCTTCAGAGATATGGCAGCTCATTTATTTTTAAGGTAATGAAAGCAGCTAGATATGAATTCCAGAGCTTTTAATGCTTCTTTATACCCAATTTCCCTCTTTTTAAACCAATACTTTAGCTTAACTTTGGGTAGTTTCAGGTCTTCCTCTTCCACACAATCCTCATGAATCTTCATTCTTTCGAATAGTTGTGTGAAGCATGTTTCGAAAGCATCAAAACCCATAGCTTCATCTCTGTTGTAAAGCTCTGATAAGTCAATCGTTAATCCACAATGCTCAAGCTTATGGAAAAGCGTTTGAGGAGTCATTAATTCTAAAGCTTGGCTGTAATAGTCTCATAGAGATTCGGTAGATAAACCATAAGATTGGAGCTGTTTGAGGCATTTCTCTTCAATAGAGAGGCGGGCATCAGAATTATAGTCGCATATTACTGAGTCCTTTGCTCCATAGATAGGTTGTTCGAATTCATCGCAAATAATTTCAAAAGGTTTTGGGAAACTTAAAAGTGTCCTCCCATGTTCTTGAGTTTTCTTCACTTCTTTGTCCAATAATTCTGCAACTTTGGACAAGAGATCTAATTGCTTTTCTTGATGTTCCACTCTATATGTATCTTCTTCATCATAGTATTCATCAAGCCTTTTAAAATAAGAACTAATTTTTGAGATTGACAATGCAATGAGGTCGATACTTTTGATGAAATCTCTAAGAACTCCAAGCCCTTCAACCTCTTTTCCATGCATAAAATCAAAATCTAGAAGGTACAGCTTGTAGTCATTAGTGATCACTAATCTGTTCAGTTCAGAGACTTCAAGAGGTTCTCCAGTTGGCCTCGAAGTCTCTCCTAAGTTTGTGATTCATAATTCTCTCTTCTGGAGGTGAAACCTTTGGATTCCATACTTATCTGTGACGGGGGCAAGTAATCTATCTTCTTGGGAGAACCAGAGACTTCTTGATTGGGACCTCAGCTGTGTCATTAGTACCTTGCACTCATCTGCCCAGCCGAAATAAGGCAGGGTTTTTAATACAAGAGGCACAGTTGTCAGAAGCGTCTTGCTCACAGTGCTCGAGGGCGAAGGAGCCTTGGTCTCTTCAAGATGGAGGGATACTTGACTTTCCATTATTAATAAATTATATATTTCGACCTCTTGATATATGCTGGGGTTTTGGGGTTTTGGGGTTTTGGGG